GGGTGCTGATGAAGGTGAGGGGTAAAATAAAGGAGATGGGCAGTGGGGTGCAGGTGGGCATGGAGCCTCTCCCCCAACTGGGGTCCTGCAGCAGTGGGGGATGCTGGGTGCACAATGAATGGGAGCGGAGATGGAGCAGCAGCCATGGAAGGAATGGGGGTGTCATGCTCCAGATGGGGAACTTTTTGCTGCTCCTCAGTCTGAGCTCAGTGGGGTCTAGAAGCAGTCGGGCACCAAGAGCCCAGTCACCTGGCCCTGGAGGGGAACAGCGGGACGCGCAGAGCCCAGTCACCTGGCACTGGGGGGGGGGGGGGGGGGGGAAGAGAAAAACACAGCGGGATGCGCAGAGCCCAGTCACCTGGCACTGGTGGAGGGGGACAGCGGGATGCACAAAGCCCAGTCACCTGGCACTAGGGGAGGGGGACAGCGGGATGCACAGAGCCCAGTCACCTGGCACTGGGGGAGGGGGACAGTGGGATGCACAATGCCCTGGCACTGGGGGTGGGGGAGAGCTGGACACGCAGAGCCCAGTCAGCAGGCGCGGGGAGGGGAGAGGGGCACGCGGAGCCGGGCACGCAGAGCCCAGAGGCTGTGGGAATGGGTAGGGTACTGGCCTAGGACTTCCCCAGCTGAACGCGCAGAGGGCAGCATGGTGTGAGCCAAACCCTGGGATGGGGACCTGGCATGACCCCCTTGCCAAATGCCCCCCCCACGCTTGCTACATCTGCGAGGGTGGCAAAATGAGCAGCAGTCCCCAGGGAGCAGCAAGTCAGCTCCCTTGGGCACTGGAAGGGGAGAGCTGCCAGCTTCTGCGTTGCCGTGCCAGGGCCCCTGCTGCCCAGGCAGGAAGCCCCCTCCACTCCTCCTCAGCCCTGGGATGCAGTGCGCTCCCTGAAGTGGGGCACCACGCAGAGAAGATCGTGGTGTTGCCGAGCCCCCAGGCCCCAGCGTGGCACAGATGGGAGACAAACGCCCTGGCGGACTCCCAGTGTGGCACTCCAAGGCTCCCAGGGATGGGATGGCCCCCATCTAGCCTCCTACCCGGGACTGCCCGGGGATCCCTACCTGTCCTTGCCATTCTGTATGGAGTTCTGGCCCAAACCGGTCCGCTCCAGCATGGGGGAATTCCGGCTCCGGTTGGTGCTGGTGGAGAGGACACTGTTCTGTGGGGGGGACAGACATGGAGTGAATGGGGGCATCTGACACCTGCTGCCCCTCACCTCATCCCAGGCCCATCCTGCACAGGGGGAAACTGAGGCACAGAGGTGAAGTGACTCACTCAACTTCACAGAGCAAGTCTGCAATCGAGCCAGGAATAGAACTCAGGAGTCCTGGCTCCTAGCTCCCCCCACCCACTAGGCCCCCCTCCCTTCCCAGAGCCAGGAACACGATGCAGGAGTCCTGACCGTGGATGGGGTGGGCGTGCTCTTCTTTCTCTCGAGCCCGGTCAGCGGGCTGGCGGGCACTTTGACGGTGCTGCTGGCCTTGCGCCCAGCCTCACGCTCCTCCTCGGGGCGCTTGTTCTCCGCGTTGTTGCTCTGGGTCTTCTTGGAGTATGAAGTGGAGGTGGGGATGGCAGGGACTGTAATGACAGCGACGGGCCTGCGGGCTGAGCATGGGCAGCACCACATGGGCAGCGCCAGATGGACCCCACCCACTGTTGCTGCTGTCTGGCCAGCCAGGGGCCATGAGTCCCCCATGTCCCCACCACCACCCAGGCTGGCCAGGAACCATCCCACCTCAGTACTGTCCCCCAACCCCCTGCCACTACCACCCAGCCAGGGGCCTCAAGTTCTGCTTCAGTGCCCCCACCCAGCACTACTACCCGGCTAGGAACCATCCCCCTCCACTGCTACCCGCCCCACTAGGATCTGGCTCTCCCCCATCACCACAGGGGCCAGGCTGGCTGCCCTGGACATCTCCATGCCAGGAGACTAGAGCAGCTTGGTGTTCCTGCTTGCTGATGGATTCCAGCCCCCAAGGGGCGGCCCCTGCTGCTGAAAGGGGGCTGTGCTGGGACCATGGCCTGAGGGAGGAGACCAGGGAGAGAGACTGCAGATCTGAGGGAAACCGCTGCCAGCCATGGCCGAGAGCAGGGCCCCCTTTCTCTAGCCCTTCCCACTAGCAGAACTCACAGCATCAGCCGCACCGTTCACCATCAAAAGGGCTGCCTTGGGTCACATTGCTAGTCCACAGCAGAGCTGGGGATAGAACCCAGGAGACTCCCACCCTTCCCCGCTGTAACCACTAGACCCATCCCATAGAGATAACTGCCAGACTAGCCATCAGCTTTCCTGTTTGCCCCGGCTCCGAGAGGCTCCAGGGTGGCCAGTGGGGCGCTGCCTGGGGGGCCACTTACCCTGGTCGCTGAAGCGCCGCTGCTTGGGGTTGGCCGAGACGCTGCGTTGTACCTTGTGCGAGGGGGAGGGGGCGCTACTGTTGGCCAGCTCGGCCTGAGGCCTCGGCTTCAGCGTGATGTTGTCGTTGTCCAGCTGGAAGAACAGGAGACAGGCTGGGGTTTCCAGAGAGCTCCAGGGAATGGGAGGGAGCTGGGCAGGGCATAGGGTACTGCACCAGCCTTCACTGCCAAAAGCCTGCATTGGCAACAGGCTGCCACCACTGGGATGGCCAGTTCCAGGGGCTCAATCCAATCGCTGCCCAGAAAGATCATTGTGGAATCACAAGGGTGTTAGAAAACAGCCCCTACCAGAGTCCGGGGCTGTGGGTCAAGATTGAGGGGCTGGGGAGGAAGAGGGGGAGGAGAGAGCCCAGGGCTGGGATGGCAGGGGAGCAGCTGACAGAGCCCTGTGATTGCTACTGGAGCCCACCTCCCCACAGCACCCACCTCTGAGTTCTTGTATCCCAGCAGCAGGTAAGTGGCCATGACCTCGTTATACTTCTGCCCTATCAGCGACTCCTGGATCTCCTCCCGCGTGTACCCCATGGAGATCATCAGCTCTGTGGAGAAACAAACATGCCATGGTGAGGAGTCCCCCAGGCACAGCCCCACACCCTGCCTGGCACAGGTTGGGCACAGGGGGCACCCGCTGCTGAGCACAGGGGGAGAGGGGTGCCCTGACGCCGAAGTAGCCCACAGCCCCAGTCCAACTGTGCACAGCACCGGGTGACTGACGGCGTAGGTCCCCACTAAGGTGCCCCATCTGGGAGGTGTGCCCGGGTGATGGGCAGCTAGGGAGAGAGCAGGCCCAGGTGTTTGGCCTGGCTTGTTCTAGCTCCCAGCTGGCACTGAGTAGCTCAGTGCTTCCCATGACAAGGCTCAAAGCACCTGCTGGCACCAACTGCCCCCTAGCTGCAGGTACTGGGGGGTGACGACACTGAGCAGGGGTCAAACAGGCACAGTAGTTTGACCCAGTGGGGAACAGCCTCTGTGACAGAGCTGGGACTGAACCCAGGCATCCTGGCTCTCAGCCCCCACTCCCCTCCCAGAGCTGGGAGCTGAACACAGGCATCCGGATTCTCAGCTCCCTCTAGTCACGAGCCCCCACTGCCTCTCCAGCAGAGCGTCTTGCACCTCTCCGTTATCTCTCGCCCCACTGCGGAGGGGGAGCCGTGTACACAGGGCAGGGGTGGGGAGCACTGAGGCCTAGGCACAGGCAGCACTGCTGGCTTGTCTGCTCTCTCCACAGCCAGTTCGGGGGGGCCCAAGCTGCCATACCCCCGGGCGCTCCGGTGCCGTACCTGTCCGCCGTGGGTCCTTGTAGTCAGGGAGGGGCTCCATGTAGGGCTTCAGCTCGTCGTCCTCATGCCCCACATTCATCCAGCGGTCTTTCATGATTTGCTGCAGCGGAGAGGGGGAGTCAACAGAGGGATGGGCAGAGGACACCCAGGGATGCAACATTCACCTCGACCCCCATTGTGCAGCCATTGAAGGAACCCGCCTCCCCCCAAGTGCATCAGGCACCCAATGGGCCCAGTACTGAGAGGGATTTGGGCCTACCTCAGGAGCATCAAGGTACAGGCCACTGCTGGAGAGAGGATCCTAGGCCAGAGGGGCCAATGGGTCTGATTAGGGGGGGAGGAGGGGAGGGATACTGGACTGCACGGGCCCATGGGTCTGACCCAGAGTGGCAGGGACTGGGGGGATGCCAGGCTGGCTGGGACCCATGTGTCTGATCCACTGTGGAGAGGGTGGACAGATATATTGAGCTGGCTAGGCCCATGGGGAAGGAGAGGGTGTAGGGTGACCAGATGTCCCGATTTTATAGGGACAGTCCCGATTTTTGGGTCTTTTTCTTATATAGGCTCCTATTACCCCCCCACCCCCGTCCTGATTTTTCACATTTGCTGTCTGGTCACCCTAAGAGGGAGGGATATACTGAGCTGGCTGGGCCCATGGGCCTGACCCAGAGTGGCAGGGACTGGTCCCATTGGCCTGGTGACAGAGGTGAATGCTGGGTTGGCTTGGCCCATTGGTTTGATGGGGGGGAGGGGGGAATGCTGGCTTGGCTGGGCCCATTGGTTTGATGGGGGGGAGGGGATGCTGGGTTGG